TATTAAGTGAGTTTCACCACATTTTACAAGTTGGCCACGCCCACCCAGTCACATAGCTGGAAAGCCACTCCCACAAAGCGGGCCACACCTACAGAAGAGGTTCTAAAAAAATTTGAAACCCACCACTGAGTTATATGCTTATGTGGCTATATGCTGAATAATGTAAACGGGTGTCATCAGGTAGAAAACATTAACAACTAGCAGACTAGTTTTGTTTTGGTGGGAACCAGGACCATTTATCAAATTCTTAATTATGCTTGCAATCTCATCCTAAGAGTTTTCTGTTATCAGAATTTTCTGTTTTCCAGTGGAAAGGGGTGGGTTTAGAACTGATTTAAAGCAATATTAGCCCATTCACTCTTTGTTACTTTGTCCAACTATGCTCATATGTTGATCTCTGTTCATTCAGAACAATGATTCTACTTTCCATCCTGTTTTCTGCCCCCACCCCTTATTTTTGCAATGGTTTTAAGTCGTCTTCAGATTTCAAGCGTGACCTCATGCTCAGCCTCTAGCTTATTGCATCTCTTTTCTTTGCTAAACATCTGTTTCTGTTTTATGTCAAAACTTAATGCCTGCATTTTTCTTGCATTTTAGGTCCAGTCAGAACATAGATAAAAATAAGGTGACATTTTCCACTACTGCATCATCAAATACCCCCAACAATGCTTCCCCTTCAGAGAATGGTAGGTACCAGTTGTTCCCATCCCCAGGTGCAGTTTAGTCAACTATAAGCCATTTCAAACCATTATTTCCATTATGAATGCCTCATAAGAAATTTGAATACAATTTGTTTTCTTTTCTGCTGACCTTGAAATGAGACAATCATAATGCAAGGACTGGTTATAAAGTTACTTTTTAACACTATTGTAATGTCAATGTTTACTAAAAAGGACAGTCATTAAGCAAGGACTACTTGTAGAGTTATAGACCGCTCACAAGCTAGAGGGTTTTTTTTTAAAAAAAAGACTAGTTTTACTGCAATTTAAAATACAACACAGCTTAGTAGAAATAAATTGTCTCAGTAGTTCAACGCTATTATTGATCAAAAACAATAAGTGGAAGATCACATGGCATGAGACTGATTTTAGAATCTCTGTATATCTGGATCCTCTTGTACAAATATTGGAGGTCCAAATGTGGGAGATGTGATCGATTTACCTTAGGATGCAGAGAAGAAAACAGTGCTGATATACTAAAGATGTACTAACATAAAGCTCTCTTTAAAAAGGGGTCTGCTGTTCCCCAAAAAGATTGGTTTTCTGATGTGGACAAAGTCAATCCATATGACTGCAAGAGGGAATTCATCCAGATTGAGAGAAAAGTTAAATTAAAAGATAATTTTGTGAATTACATATTCAGTACATATTCAGTGCAGGACACAACTGATGTTGATTCTGTTGTCCTTTTCCTACAGCCACAACCCATGTACCTGACTTGTCCCCTGCCTTGCCTGCCTATAACATAGTAGTTTGTTTCAACCCACCTTGTTTTTCTACCTGTTGTTCTTCTGTTCTCAACAACATATCTACCCCTGGACCTTCTGGGACCACTACAGTTGCCACCAACCGGATAGGTAAAACCATTTGGTCCTATTTATTTATTTAAGAATTTACAGTGCTCGCTTCGGCAGGACATATACTAAAATTGGAATGATACAGAGAAGATTAGCATGGCCCCTGCACAAGGATGACACGCAAATTCATGAAGCGTTCCATATTTTTTGCCTACTATTCAAGAATGGACGTTAAAAGTAACAAACCTAGCAGAGATGGCTAAAATATCAGCATATC